AATTTGACGCTGATTTGACCCTTGATTCGGACCTGAACTCTGTAGTAGAACCTCATTCGTATTAACCTTACTTTCACCTGACTTGCGTCGGTCTTCTTCGGAAGCTTCAATAATATCCTCTTCTAGGTTTTTGTCAATTGGATCGTTATCCTTCGAAAGTCCTGAACCAATTCTATCTCGGATATTGGTATTGGATAAGTCATCAAAATATGTTTCACTGTTGTATATTCGATTATAAGGGACTCGCGTTGAGCATGGAGCATCATCATCGTTAGAACGATCTTCTTTGATTTCTGTACTAAGAGTATTTTTTGGAGCTGGTTCTACTGGTGAATTTTCGTCAGACGAATCATCAATAAAAACATGATCTCGAGTGCCTTTATTCCTCTAATTGTCAACTGAAGTAGTATCTGAGTGATCTAGGGATGCACGTTTTGTGAATTGCTCCTGATTCTTAAATACATCTACAGTAGCACTAGAGGATATATGAGGTTTAGGTGGACATGGCTTGAATATTGGAGGAGGGGAAGGAATGTTGTGCTTGATCACGTCTTCTAAATTTTTCTCCATAATCTTGGCTCTTCCCAGGCAATCGTCCAAATCGATTTTGAGGTATCTGTCAACTCTCAGAAGTCCTTTGTAATTCTTTAACATTTTGGAAATTCATAAAGAAAAAGTATCAGTCTATTGATAAAATTCTAAGCATAAAAAGCATTGGGTACTGCATCCTGACAAATTATCTTAGCGGCCTCTTCCCTTATCCCATGTATAAAGTTCTTAACACGACTATAGCTCGTGGTGTCTAGATTACAGTCATTGAATTTACTTCCAGCTGTCTCCTGACTGGTGCATTCTGTCGGTATATTTATCACCAAATTTCGGTCAGCTATATACTTTTCCAGTAGTAATCGACAATCTTTGACCGTGCCATTAGGAATAGCGGTGATTATACAATCTTCTGTTAGATGCAATCCTACCGTCAATGTCAGGCGAAGAATTTTTTCGAAATCCTCAAGATTTTGGCAGTCAATGCTCTTGAAAGCTGGCCAACCACATATATTCTTGTTAACATGGGCCACATCCTGATCAATATATGTGAAAATTGGAGATCGAAAGTAAAATTCTGGATTATTCGTTGCATATAAAAAGCAAGTTTCGATGTATGCTTTAATTGTTTGATTATTAAATGTAAGACATATGCCATTAAGAAGGGCTCTCGAACCATCACAGAAAACTCGTTTAGGTTTCGGTGCTGATAAACGAAACCACTTCTGTAATGCCCAAGTGAACACTTCAGTTTCTTGACTCTCTTTAAGTCTGTGAAATACTGGCATTGTTGTGTGATCGAAGTTAATTACAACGGCATACAAAAATATATGGCTTGATGTTGTACAATTGATATGCATAATTTGCTGTACCGTCAATTGCTATACTCGAATTTTGTTGTGTAACTCGCAAGTATTGTTTGTATGCATGAAGTTGGCTCGGAGTACTGCAAAAAACGTAGAATTTATCTGCTTTAATATCATGTATGCATCCACGATAAGGTGCAGTTCTAGCCATATTGCAAATCGTTCTTATGACGTCGGTACCATCGGTTGCTTTCGCGTTGTATTTCTTGTAATAAGCCATGTGTACAAGCCCTAACTTATACACTCTAGTCTGAATAGGCCTTAAGTATTACACTGACGAATTATGTTACATCAAAGATATTAACACAGTTGTTTTATATTACAAGAAACTATTAACACATCAACTATAAGTTGGTTTATGAATTATGTTACATCAAAGATATTAACACAGTAGTATTATATTACAAGAAATTATTAACACATCAACTATAAGTAGGTTTGTGATATGTAAAGATTATCTCGCGCACTTCCGGCTAGGAGAGAGACCTGAAAACTTCAATAAACATTACCACGCGGAAACTACGGAATCTTATTGACTTATTACTTGGTGTCAGAATCGGACCTTTGATTATCACTACGGCTCAGAATAGGCTGCCTCCCGAGCTGGATTGCAGTAATCTGGCAAAAGACTGGCCAACATGGAAGAGCACATTTTGCATGTACATGCATGCAAACGGAACATGTCAAAATTGCTACATTCCTATGGCTGGTGGGACCGAAGCCAGTTGAAATTTACAACACCCTGTTCCCAAATGATGGGTCAACAGAGCAGGTGCTTGGTATGGGTAGATCCGCGGATACTGACCGTGATGGTACTGGCGGTGAGAGTGCACGTTCACTAGCACACGTGCTCGACGCCTTTGACGAATACTGTATTCCAAAAAAAAACGTGGCTATGGAGTCGTTCAAATACAACACGATTACCCAAAAAGAAAAACAACCGTTTTCTGAGTTTGAAACAGAGTTGCGTACCCAAATTCGCTATTGCGAATTCAACTGTAGCTGTGGTAAATTATATAATGACCGCATGTTACGGGACCGAATTGTTCTGGGTATATACGACAAAACACTGCAGCTTAAATTGCTTGACGGAAAGGATGAGCCGCTGTCTCAAATAATTCAAAAATGCAAGGTGTACGAAGCGGCAAATACCAACAAAACCCTTTTGGACCAAGGAACTCCAAGATCCGTCAATGTAGTCACTCGTTTTTGCTACAACTGTGGGCAACAATTTTCGCTCGGACATCTAAATGTGTGCAAGGCCAAAGACGTAGTATGCAGAGGCTGTGACAAAAAGAGCCATTTTGTTAAAATGTGTCGTGGTAAAAAAAGCCAGCAAGCATCACAATTCCCGGATAAGAAGACACCAAGCAGCGGACAGCAGACATCAAGCAGCGGACAGAAGACAAACCCAGGATCGTACAACAAACAACATGGACAGGTCCACTCAGTGGGAGATTATTATAACTGGAACGAAGAAGGAAAACCTAACTGTAAAATAGAATCAATAAGTGGATCAGTAGACTATACTCATATTTATAGAATAAATACGAATAATAACGGACTAGTAAG